AAAGGGACAGAAGCGGCATCCACAGAGCACCCACTGTGTGCTGGGCACTGCACTAGCTATCATCATGCTCCATCCTCATGTTGTGTTGGAGAAGGGCAGCTCAGAGAGCCGTGTGATGCCCAGGTTGCCTGGGGGCAGGGAGCGGAGCTGGGATGGAGTTCACGCTCTCACCACCATGCACACGGCCCCATGAGTGACAAGCCAATGGCAGCTCCCAGTATTCAGTGGCACAAGGTCACTTTTGGATGGGCTTTGCTGCAGGGTGGGGGCTCCATGCCATGCAGAGAGAATCAGGAACCAGGAACATCGGGGGCCTGGCTGCCCTTCCTCCCTGGGTACCTGGCAGCCTGAAGACAGAGACGGCTCAGGTGCTCTGCCAGCCACCAGGGCCCCACAGGACACTGAAAGGTGAGCTAGCACAGTCCGGTGCCCTGAGCATGGTTCTGAGACACAGGCAGGTACTCACAGTCCAAAGTGTGTGCACATGACACACTGCAGGGGTACACTCGGGAGAGGACGGTCCTGTTGGGCACGGCTGCCTGTGCAGCCACGTGGATCCCAGCCAGGCGGCACCGAGCTCACTGCTCTGATGTGTGGACGTCCCACTGCCCAGTCCAGGGAAGGGTGTGGTGGGGGCCCCAAGAGGCCGCAAGTCCCCATTTCTGAACCTTGGAGGTGTCCTATCTGACCCCTCCCCAAGCTCCCCTGTTCCTGGCAAAAGCCCCAACAGGGCTGGAGGACTCACAGCCCAGCAGGTCATTAACTCTGGCCCAAGACCAACTAGACCAAGATGGTGCAGAAGGTTCTCCTGTGCCCACTGTGGTGCCCTGAACAAGCCAGTTTCCACAGCAACACGAGGGCTCTGTTGGAAATGCCCAGGCACCTCGGAGCGGAACGTGCCGGCGTGTCTGCCGTGAGTGGGGCTGGACGTCCTCGACGGAGTGGCAGGCTCCATGACCCAGCCCAAGCTGTTGTAGATCCCCGCCGGCCATAAAAAAGGCATTTCTTTTGAAAAATAATTTATAATTCACACTGACTGCCCAGCAATTACGCCCAACCGGTGGAATGCAAGCATGTTTTGCCCGGGGAACCTTAGACATTAAAGCTTAGTGCAACTGGCCCATCCATCTCAGTGCAGAATGACAGCTGAAGGTGGCTGCCCGGGACCCGCGGGAGGGGCCCAGCCCCGAAGGCCGCCCTCCTCCCGGGATCATTTTCCTTCCGCACTAGAGTTTCCTTCCGCGGTTGAGACGGTAGGTGGGGCCCGGCTGGGAGCCTGGGCTGTCTGTTCATGCCCTACCAAGGCATCCGGGAGGCCTCCTTGTCTGGGGGGCGCTGGGACACCCCCCCGGGGGCTCTGCAGCATGTCGGCTGGCACCCTGAGGTGGGCTTTGAGCTGGGTAAGGCAGGTGACCTCCACCCCCCATGGGGCTGGCTCAAGCCCACAGCGTGGAAGGGCTGGGACTGGCCTCCCGACACCAGCCCGGCCCACCCCGGAAGAGTTCGCCCAAGGGCATGGGGGCCTGGGGCCTGGGGCCCAGTCTTGCTGGCCCCTGCCTTGTCCTCAGCTCCCACTTCCGTGTGATGGGGTGTCTGGCGGGCTCAGGGTGGAGCCTGGAAGGAGAGGCCCCAACACACACCCAGCGTGTCTCCAGCTGCCGGCTCCTGTGTGGGATGCCCCCTCCTCCCTGACAGCAAAGGCTGCCTGACCCGGCCTGGGGTGGACAGGAGCCCTCCGGGGACAGAGGGGATTTCCCATGCAGTCTAAAGACTAGGGTGTTTCCAGCGGCCATGCTGCTGGGCCACTCACGGCCGGCCTTCCCTAAAAGGGGGCAGGAAACTGCTGGAAAACCACTTTCAAGCGGGTCACAGTGGCTTCAAACTGCCCCTTTCCCTGATGCTCCAGAGCCGGGACGAGCAAAGACTCGCACCGAAGCCGTGACGGGAAGCATCTGCGGCTTGTGCGCAGCTGTGGGGCCAGCGACGTCAGTCCGAGGGCACCACTGTGGGTCTGGTGGGGCCCAGGACCCGAGAGAGGGGAAGGGGGTTCTCAGACAGGCAGGGGCCAGCAGGCCAGGTGGGGTCTCAGTGCTGTGACCCCTCCCCATGGACACCCTTAGCAGCCCCGTAGCCCCCTGGGCCTCAGCATCCTCGCCCCCGAGTGGGGGTGCCTGGTCCCCCCGGGCTGCTGTGACTTCACCTGAGACACTGAGGGGCAGGCCCTGGCTCCGGGGACTGGAAGAGCCCTCGGTGGTGGCGTCAAGGTCACTAAGCTGAGTTGTCTGTACTCAAAGGCAGAGGAACGGCCTCCGCCCCCGGCCCCAGTGGCTGTGCCCAGTCACTCAAGACACCCCACAAGGCCTCCCTGGTCGGCAGGGCTGAGGGAGGGGAGGGTCCAACCTCTGCTCAGGACCCAGGTTCCCAGGGGTCTCGGGCTGCCTGCCCGAGGCAGGTGGGCTCTGGATGTGGCGGCACAGCCTCTACCACAGTCCTGCACGCGGAAGCTCCAGACACGGGGTCCCGGGCAAGACTCAGGGTAAACAGACCCTGAAGTGTTAAAAAAAAAAAAGAGCTTGGGGAGGGCCAGCCACACTGAAGGCCCCTGCCTGGGAGCCCCGTCCTTCCCCTGACAAAACGCAGAGCAGTGGAGGGAGGACATGGACATCGAGGAACCTCCAGTGCCCCCACGGCAGCCCCAGCTTCACACTAAGTGGACTCGCGGTGGGAACACTCCTAGCAGGACGGACGCGTCCAAATCTGCCCAGATCAAGGGCTGATGCAGACGCGGACCCGTCCTGCAAGGCGCTCCCTCCAAACCAGCCAGGCCCTCTGGCTATTCTTAGCGCGCAAGAATCCAAAATTAAAACAGAGGAAGCGCCAGCTCCCTCGGTGGTTTGGGAACTTCCCTGAATATAAGGTTCCAGCCACAAAAATCCCACAGCCAGGAATGGCACAGCATCGGCGAGGGCAGGGGACCAGCCGCTTATGCAACCCGGGGCCAGGTGTGCCGGGGAGGGGGCAGGAACTGCTGTGTCCTCTTCGAGCTCCCAAACCGCCCGGCCCCTCTCAGAAGGAGGCCGGTGGACAGAGCAGTCTCCGGGTGGAAACAGGATTTGGCTTAAGACCAGAAGAGAGAACCTGGGCTCCACAGAACCCCCTTGGGGAGCCCAGGGTCATGTGTTTTGTGCCCGGCGTGTCCACGGCCATGTCCACAGCCATGCAGGAGTTGCTGGCACACAGCAGGCGCTCCATTAGTGCTCCATGAGGGCATGATGCAGAGCTCATGGAGCTCGGGGCTGGGTGAGAAAGCTGCCCTGGAGGTTGTGCCGAACCACCCGGGAAAGAAAGAGCTGGACGTTACTGCAGACCCACCGCCCCCTGGCCAGCAACCCCGTTCCCCAAGGGGATGCCATACTCCCAGGACTGGAATTGTCCCCCAAGCTTGCGGGGCCCTGCCCTACACCAGGCTCGGGGACTGCCCCAGACCTCCTCCTCAAACACCCCAAACCCCAGCCCTTCCTCAGAAGTTGTACTCTGGGCCTTCGACACCAAGCCACCACCTCCCCCCGACAGCTACCGGCTGATCTCGGGCATGGAGTAGGGGGCAGCCCCTGGGGACACCCCAGGGAGGGACAGGGGAGGAGAGACCAAAGGTCTCCTAGTAACGTGCCTCCCTTGGGCACCCTCCCAGGCCCTGCAGGAAACGGCTCTGAGCAAACACTCTCCCAGGGCTGCCCAGGTCCTCCTGGGTCCCCACTGGCCACCTTGGACGAGCACCTGGCCTGGCGGTCACTGCCAGCTGAGCACAGAGAGCCAAGGAGCTGCCTGGAGGATGGGGTGCTTGGCTCCTAGTGGCCTGTGCCCAGTGATGAAAAGCAGGGGCTGGAGATGAGGCCCGAGACCACGAGAGGGAGAGTAGCCCACCACCGCCAAGCTCAGTACCTCCCAAGATGACTCGTCCTGGGCTGCTCTGCCCTGGCCAGGGTGGCCCTAGGCAGGCCCAGAGAGGTCAGTGCAGCTGGGTCTGGTCACGCCTGGACTCTGGCTCCTACAGTGGCTCTGGGTGCTCCAAGTGGGGTGAAGTTCTTGCGAGGCTGCGGGCCCACAGGCTGGTGGGTGGTTTGGCACAACCTCCAGGGCAGCTTTCTTAGCCAGCTTTCACTCCCAGCAGCCCTGCCCCAGGGCCTTTGCACACGCCATTTCCCTGCCTGCACACCTGCTCCTGGACAGCCCTGTGGCACTCCGGCCTCTGCTCACATCGTCACCTTATCAAGGGGGTCTCCAGACCTTTTTATAGAACAGCAGCCCCTTCCCCACTTCTCAGCCCACTTTCACCCCTCTCTGCCTCATTCTTCTCCCAGGACTGTCACAAACTGAGGCTATGTGCATGCTGTCTGTCTGCCTCTCCACTGGGACACCAGCTTCTCTGCTGCCCGAGGGACCAGCGCCTGGAACAGCGCCAGCAGCACAGGGAGAGCACGGGGGGCCTCCCTCCCTGGGAGGCACCTTCTCTGTGCACGAGCTCACTCCAGGAGCCCCCTGTGAGGCCCTGCAAGACAGCTGAACCAGCTCACGGCCCCGGCTGCCCTGCAGTGGGTGGACTCATGCACGGTCATGCACACGCATGTACACACACATATACCCCCACCGTGCAGAGTACACTAAGAGTGGACTGGGCTGTATGTAAGACAAAACCTAAAATCACCACGGCAACCCCCACATGCAGGGAGTCGGGGGAATGGTGCCACCGGTCCCACTGTGTCAGCTGTGAGCTTTGCTCCACCGCTTGGCGAAGGGGCTTCCTGCCCTGGCTACCTGCCTGTCTTCTCAGATGCTCTGAGAACCCTCCCACCTCTCCACCCTTCTCACGAGCTGAACCTACCAGGAGGCGGAAATGTCTTTTCCCAGGAGCAGCCCCAGCCCGATACAGCTGGGTTCCGTGGGATCTTGGCCGTGACGGGTCCCTCCCCAGCCCTGGGAAGCATCCGGTTGCCACTCACCATGAGGATGCGCCGGTAGCTGTCGCGGTCGATGCCCCAGAGCTTGAGATCTGTCTTGGCTTTCACTGTCGCGGCCCTGGGGGTGCCGTAGATGAGCGCCAGCTCCCCGAAACTGCCTCCCTCACTAATGCTGGTCACCCAGTCTCCGTTCACGTACACCTTTGGAGAGCAGGACAGAAAAACGTCACGTGTAGGGGACACTGGCTGCTTCCCACCCAGGGGTCCCTGCACGGAGGGGCACAGCTCCTTGCTTGCGGGCACAAGTCCCCACGCCCCCCCCCCGGAGCTGCAGGGAGGCCAGCATGTGCGGGGACCGAGGTGCCCGCCTCACCCACAGACCCGCTTGGAGCTGCAGCCAATGGCATCACCCCGAGGCGGGAGGCCCCAGGTGGCCGATGGGACAGACTAGGACCCAGGTGTATGCAGCCCAATCTGCATCCCAGCAACCCAGGTGCCCCTGGCAGCCTTCAAGTCAATTCCTCGTCGACTTGGACTCAGCCTCTCAGACTTAGCGCCCCGGCTGCGCACCAGTGAGTGGGACCCTGCGATTTCCACGTGGCACCGCCTGGTGCTCTGTCCCTCATGTGTGCTGAGAGTCCAGCGAGCACCCCACCCTGCCCTCTCCACTCACCCATTGCCCCTTCTTCTCCCGCCACCCCATGAACCCCTGAGGACCCTGGTCCCCCATCCCCCATGCTGCCATGGCCCCAAGGAGCCAAGCGGACCATCTCAGGGGCAAACCCTTCCCTCCCCAGGGGTGGCACCCAAGCTCCCCGGGCCTGGAGTGTGGACGGGAGCCCTCTGGCTGGGCCCTGCTGCTGGCGAGGCCAGGACAAGATTCCCTTTCAGGCCGCGAGGGCCGACGCCCTGCACAGCATGCCACTGTGCACGGACCACGCACGGCCGCATCCGTGCACGAATGGTGCAGATTGTTCATTATACAGGGACGGTGCAGCTCTGGCTACTATGACTTGACACAATTCGGTCTTTATCCCTCCCTGTGTCAATGAGCTTGAAGAATAGTTCCCATTGGCAAAACCGTTCCCACTGGGTGCGTATCGGGAAAGAATGGATGGCCATGAGTCATTCAATAAGTCGATTCTTACTGAAATCAATGACTCATTATCTGGGTAAGAACCGATGCACAGAGTTTTCTATTAGGAAGAAGAGACACGCAGGTGATAACTCCTGAATCAGCACAGAGAGGGCAGCTGTGCCAAGCAGAGTCCCCTGCGGAGTCTGTGGCCCCCACCCGGCCAGTCCGGGCTCGCGTTCCAGGAGGGAAGCTGAGCAGCTCGGCCTCCGGGCAGGAGAATCACAGATTCCCTCCACGCCCCTCAAGGCCCTAGGAGACAAGTGTGTGAGCACACCCGGGAGCAGGGTGTGCTCCCCAGACACGGAAGCACACGTGGAGGGAGGGTCTGCCATCCCAGAGTTTTTGGGGTGAAGGGACCTGGGAGCATGTCCTCTGGAACATCTGCCTCTTGTTTCTCTCAGGGGACCCAGTGCCTGGGGAGGGTGGTCGGTGGCCTGGGCACAGCCAGGCCCCCATCTCGCAGTGGACACTCCCACTGTGCCTGCGTTGCTATAGAAACCTGCTCTTGGGGGACAACTCACGAACATTGACATGCACGACTCTTAGGGTGCAGCTCAGTGCGGTGTCACGCTGCTTGGATGGGGTCCCCAGGAACTCCAGGCGACCCTCCCCAAAGCCATTCAAGCCATTAACTGTGGAACCCCAGGCTCACCCTGCTGTGCCTCGTGCTGTCTGGCCTCCCTGTGGGTGCCGGGCTTCAAGCCCTAATGTGTCCCGTGCCTCAAGCATCCCCACATGTGACGCACACCCTGGGGAGGCTGCGCTGCCTGGTTGGGGGGGGGAGGACCTGCTGGCTCAGCCTCGGCTGGGGTTGCTCAACCCCATCCCCCATCCTCCAGCAGCTGCACCCACAGCACCCCCCACGACCCACCACACTCTGTTCCAGTCCGAGACCCCTTGCTGAGCCTCGAAACAACGTGGCTCAGGGGTTTGGGAGGTTTGCTTGACACAGGAGCATCTAGGGAGGCAGACGGTGGTGGCATGTGCCTGAGGGTGTGGGCACACCTCTCCCCTTTGCACCTTAGGAGGCTGAGGAAGCCACCCCCTGCAACGGCTGCCCCGGGCAGGGGCAGGATAGCCCACCACCTGCCAAAGAGCACAGGGGCCCCTAGAACAGAGGAGGGTGCATCTGAGCAGAGCCAGCCTGGGCAGCTGCACCCCCTCTTTCCTGGGGCACATCCCCAAGGAGTGAGGGCCCACTGCTGCAGAGCCCGGCCGAGGGGAGCCGGCTCAGGACGCCCTTCCGTAAGGACCCCCTTCCTCTGCCTCCGAGAGCTCGTTCTGTGGCGTCAGAGAAAGCCATTGTGCAGCCCCTGCGGACAGCCCAGGGCCACACTGGCCCCAGAGGACAAAGGGCCATCCTTCTCGGGACACTGGCCTCTGTCACCGCTCCACGCAGCGCGGGCCCCACCCCAGCTGGTACGCAAAGGGGCTACTTCTTGTTTTGTTTCATTTTTTGTGTTTTCTTCTTCTTTTAAAAGAAAAATGGTAGAGTCCCTGAGGCTACATTTGTGCCCCGCCAGGGACTGTGGTTTCTCACCAAGCCCCACCAGCCTCTCTGCATCCCCTCCTCCACTGACCCTCAGCGAGGACCGAGCACCCCAGCAGCACAGCTCCATGCTGGGAGGAATTCCTGTCCGGGGAACGCGCTTGATCGGCAGCGAGACCGGCCACAGGCAAACACAGCACAAACACACGCTCACCGTGAACCGCGAAGGCCCAGGGAGACAGCGGGAAGCAGCGGCGGGGAAAGGGCGGCTGGAAGCTGCTCAGAGAGAACCTCTCCTGGGGGAGTTTCAGCAGGACGAGGAAGACGAGGGGGGAGAGAGCTGCAGGCAGAGTGACAGCGCGTGCCAAGGCCCTGGGGCAGGTTGGGGAGGCTCCGGGCCATCTCCCAGCCCCAGGCACAGCCCCAGCAGGCTGCGCCAACACAGCCTGTGCCCACAGCCGGGCCACCAGGACCTCAGCAGAGAAAGAAAAGGGCTGTCTGTGTGGGGCCCCTAGGCGCAGCTATGGACCACGGGTCACACCGCACCAGATAAATGACACCTTAAAAGGCAGCACGCTGAGAACAGAGTGATGCTCACGGTCACAGCAGCCAAAGGCAGGAGTGCCCCAGTGTCTACGACAGATGAACACAGTGGTATCTGCACACAATGGAATATTACTCAGCCTGAAAAAGGAAGGAAAATGTGACACACTCCCGGAGGATAAGCCTTGCAGACATGATACTCAGTGAGATAAGCCAGGCACAAAGGACAAACCGCATCACTCCAGGCACCGCAGGCCCCAGAGGAGTGAAGCTCACAGCGACAGAAAGCAGGATGGGGGTGCCAGGGGCTGGGGAGGGGTGGGGTTAGGGCTTCATGGGGACAGAGTCCTGGAGGTGACGGTGGTGATGGCTGCACAACAATGTGCTTAATGCCCCGGACTGCACACTTCGTGATGGCCAGAATGATAAATGCTGTGTGCGGTTTGCCACCATTGAAACACTCACACAAAGCACCGCCGGCTCTGACCACAGGCCCAGCTCCCGGGGGGGCCCCAAGCTGCCCAGGGCGGCACCTCCTCCCAGCCCCTGTAGCCCCCAGACATTCTGTGTGAAACCGGAGGGAGGTGGAACCCTGCAGCCAGCAGGGACAGGAGAAGGCCCCCCTGGGGTGCACAGGAGGAGCTCAGGGACAGGAGAGGCCCACGGGGTGCACAGGAGGAGGCCTCAGGTAACAAAGGCCTGAGAACAGTCGGGAAAGATCGGGCCTCAAACAGGGCTGGAGACAGAACTAGGTTCCGAGCCCTACAGTCCACAGCTGAGTGTCCTTTTAAGTAGAAATGCTATGTTCCATGAATAAAATAAATTGGAAGATATTTTTATACTTAGAAAAATGGATTATAGCTCTTGGCAACTCGCATACTGCGGCAGGCACTTTCAGACTCTCTGGAAAACCATAATTTAAACCAAACCCGGTGCTGTTGGCATCTGGTCACCTGGCCAGCACCCTGGGGCGCCGCTGGTCAGAGGGCAGTGTCCACCCTGCAAGGAGGAGCGTGCGCAGGAAGCCACGCCCAGGCCCCCGTCTGAAGGGCCGGGGCAGGGTCCTCAGAGGGAGGCGGCCTCCGCCGGGCCGTGGGCATTTGAGGCTGTAACGCCCGTGGCCACTATCCTTCTCCTCCCTCCACCCCCAACAAAGCCGGGATCACGGAGCCTTGAGCGCTGTCCTCCGCGTCCTGGGCACGTCCACCCCACCGCCCCAGGGAAGGCAGGTTACAGAAAATGAGCAAACAAAACGCGGCCACAGGGCTCCCAGACTCAGGCCCTGATGGGGCTGCCCAGGGCTGCCGAGATTCCTCCTGGCACAGCAATAACAGTAATTATTGTAATATATGTCCCATAACTCACCCCAGTCACCCAACATGCCATTTTTTCTTTCCAGATTCCTTACTGAGCATCTTTGATTCCTTTAAATGTGGCCTGTACCCACGCCACCCCGAGTGTTTGCCCTGCACACGGGGCCCGCCCACATCACAGGAGCACCCTCCACGCGGCTCCTGCACCCGCCACGCCCGGCCCGCTGGGCACTCCCTGCCGCCCACCCCGTCCGGTGGGGATCTGAGGAGATTGATGAGGGTGCCTGGCGTCCCCACCGCGGCAGGGTAGTGAGGGCCCGGCACACCCACTCATGGACGGCCCGTAAATCGCAGCCTGAGCTGTCGGGGGATTGGGGGCCATCTGTGCCGATTGAGGCTGTAGCCAGGAAGCAGGCATCCGCCCACAGAGCCCAGACACCCCGCCTCTAGAGCGGGGTCCAGCCAGGGGCTTAAGGCGGCCTTTGTCTTAACCCACGACCTGGCAGGGGAAGGGCCGTCGGGGGTGCCTGGAGCTGCCAGGACAATATATTTGGGGAACTCCAGTTACGCGGAGGTGACTTCACTCTTTCCCTTCACAAAATTGCCTGCACACGTCCCTGGGCTTGGAGGGGAGCCAGCCACAGCCCTGTGCCTGGAGCACGGGACTGGAGTCTGCAGGAAGGCCGGGTGACTGCCTGACCCCCACGGCGCCCAGGGCTTGGCAGTCCCCAGGGGCTGCGGGGCCCTGCTTTGAAGGAGCTCACGGCCTGTGGGAGAGGGGAGTCAGCTCATGAACAAGGGTCACAGTCTGCCCCGGGGGTGCTGTCCTGCAGGGGAGGCGGGGAGAAGAGGCGAGAGCTGCTGGGCAGGGGCTCCTTGAGAAGCAGGGACAGCCAGGGTGCTCCAGGGTGGGCAGGACAGCACCCACCCTGCTTCTGCGGCCTATGGGACAGTCCCCTGGGCAGTCCCAGGCCCACTGGGCCCAGGGCACGGCGACGCCAGTTTCTCTCATCCTCACCCATCCTGGGATTAGGCTGGGCCGGGGGAATGGACGGAGGGCGTTTCCTCTGCTGGGGAGAAGGCTCTTAGTGGTTCGGGTGCTGGGGACACGGGACAGGGCAGTGGGGGGTGTTCTGCTGGCCAGGGTGGCTGGGAGGTGGCAAGTGCATTACTGGGAATAGGTGCATTAGTAGGAGCAGGGGGCAGAGAACAACAGACAGAGCGAGCCCCTTGCCCGCAACTAGGCATGGCAGATGGCACCGAGAGAATTATCTCACTTACTCTTCCCGCTGTCCCCAAGCTCTGGGGACCTGGGCCCAGGAAACCCGCCAGGCAGAGGACAAAGCCCGAGGCCTCTGTGTCCACACGGAGCTTTGACCATCCTCCCACTGTCTCCCCCAACACGGGTAAAGAAGGAGCAGCTCCTGGGCCCCAGGTCAGGACTTGCAGGCACCACAAGAGCGTTTGGGCAGAGGGCTGGCCCTCCCCACACCTGCTCTGTCGGGAGGACAAAGCACGCGGATTTGGAACCCCCTGGGGCCACCTCAGCTCCCATTTCTGCTCTAAGCTCCAATGACACAATTGGCACTTGGGCAATGTCTTTGGAATTGAATTAGATTTGTACCATTTTGTGAACACAGAAGAAGGGGAAGGAAAGGCCAAGCAAAGACCTACGGGGCCCAGTCTAGGGGGTTTGGTGCTCGGTCACTAGCTGAGCTCAGTGTTCATCAAAGCTGAGCAGCAGACAGATAGGCTGAGCCCTGTGGGGTCTTGAAGGATGTGTAGGAGTTTGGGAGTCAGAGCAGGAACAAGAACATAGAGGACAAGAGGCCACTGAGACACGCCTCTGCCAACTTTCTGTTCCCTGAGCATCTCCCCCATCAGGCTGTGGCCCCAGACCCAGGGCAGGCCCACATCCTGCCGTCCTGAGTACACACTTAGGACTGGGCAACGCTGGGCACAATACTGGCACTCAACAAACACCCGGAAGGAGATGGGGGAGGGGAGTTTCCAGAATCCTGATCAATTGGGGGCCAAGAGTGTGCAGTGGTAAAGGAGCCATGAATAGGTGTGAGGGCTGTGGACATGGCCAGGGGACAGGCCACCCTGTGGCTCCCCAGGCATCCCTGCCCCTCAGCTAAGCCTAGGCCTGGACAGGCCAGGTCCCCCCACCCCCAGGCCAGCCCCACCCTATCCACTGGAGGCCGAGCAGACTCCCAGCTCTGACCCCCCAGACCTAGGTGTCCACACCTCAGGGGACAGCCCTAGGCCCAGGGACAGGCCCGGCTGGGACACTGCCCGCATCCTCCTCTGTCTTCTCTATTTCCTGGGCTGGGTTTTTTTTAAACCCAAAGTGAAGCCAACAGGAGATGATTCTGTGGCCGGCTGGGCAGCTGAGCCCAGGGTCAGAACCACGGCCCCGCCTGCCCGCCGTCCTTCCTCCACACTTCCTCTGTGGCCTGGGCAGCCCCTGGGGCTTTTGGTAGACAGGTGCACCTCCACCCCCAGCCCCACCGCCACGCAAAGGTCTGCCCAGAGCCTGGCCCAGCCGAGCCTGCGGGCTCCAGCTCAGGAAAGGGCGCTCCGTGGCCAAGAGAAACCCGGACTTTCTCCGCCTGGGCCAGCCGGGCCTCGGGCCGTTCTGCGCGTGCCCCTCGCGGGAGGTGGGAGCCGTGAGTCATTTCCTGTGCTGGCAGCTCCGGAAGCGGAGTGGGTCTGCTCGGGTTCCCAGAAGTGCGGCGGCGAAGGGGACAAAGACGGGCTGCCGGGGAGATGAGTAAATGCCCTCCCGAAATAGCCAGGACTGGATGGGGCGCAGAGCGCAAGGCCAGGCCCTGAAATAGCTTGCCCCACGGCAGCCGGGGGCTCGGGGAAGGGCGTGGGGCCCTGTGTCGGCCTCCCGGACCCAGAGGAGACTCGGGCCAGCCCACGCGAGCGTCCGAGCCCTCACGGACCCCAAAATGCCTGGAGCCTCCAGCCTGTCACAGAGACAGAAATGATCGCAGGAACAAGCGCCTGATAAATGCAGCCTACGGCGGGAGCATGCAGGGGCCACGGAGGGGCCGGGAGGCGGGATGTGTCCACGGGCAACCGGTGACAATTAAGCAGAGACCGAGGAGAAGCGAAGGGCGACGACACCGAGGGTGGGGTGGGGGTCCACCAGCGAAGAGCGGGTGGATTCCAGGATCTGGGAACGACAGGGTCACTGGGGCCCTCCTGCCCGTCACACCAGAGGCTCAGGCCTATTTCAGAGAGAGACAAACCCATGGAGGGTTTCAGCGAGAGATGGGTGCAACCTGCCTGCACAGCCATGGTCCCTGGTGCCGTGTGGATAGCAGCCTGCAGGGCAGGAGCCAGCGAGGGACCTGGACCCTGAAGGCTGGGGAGGCAGAAAGAGCCCAGGGCTTCAGCCCCGGAGCCCCAGGTGGGGTCTCCCGAGGAGAGGAAGCTTCTCCTTCCGAAACAGCAGGTGCCTGTGGATAAAAGTGTGGGTCCCTCGCTCCTGAGACAGGTGCAAGTGGGAGAAACCAATGTTCTGGGAGCCTTCAGCTCATGGATCAGAACGCTGGGCAGAAAAGGGAGTGCTCGCCTGGCCGTAGACTTGGGGTTGTATAAGCACCAGTGTCAGCACCTAATGCGGGCGGCGAGCGTGGAGCATTCACGCAGCACAAGTCAAACAGGAATGGCGGCTGCAGCCCGCAACTGCCGGCCCCCGCCCTCACTGCACACCGCGCCTTCGGTGTTTTCATAGTATACCTTAAATGGCACGCGCTACCTCTCTGGACTAAAACGTTAGAAACATCACTCAGAAAGAAGAATTTGTAGACTCGGTAGCGACCTAGTGCTGCACTGAGCGTCAAGTCTTCCAGCCAGACCTGGAAAGACATGGAATTGTCCAAAGAAAGTGAGCGATACTCACATCCACCTCTCCTTGGTCAATCACGTAGAAATTATCCCCTTCGTTCCCTGTAACAAAAGAAAAAGGACAACAAAAGTGTAACGTGATAGTACAAGACACATAAGTTACGGTGTTTGTTTTTTTTTTTTTCTTGCAAACAACTTCAGCAACACGGTCTTATAGACCGTGGCCAAGACAGACCCCGGGTCCCACCAATTTTTTTTAACGACAGGAAGATGATGGAAACATATTGAGTTAGCTTGTTAAGCAGACTGTTCTTGAGTTTCCTTAGTCAGTTGTCTCAAGGATTGACAGTGACGGTTTTATGCTAATATGTATTCTTAAGTGCACAGTCCGTTTTTCCCCACGGGCTTTGGCGCAGAGGGGAAGGCAGAGCGTACCTTGCTGGATGACGGTCTCCCCGGCGATGTGCGTGACGGGGAACATGGCGTCGAAGATGTCACTGAAAGACAAGACACAACACATTGGTGACTGCAGGAGGCACTGGCGCTTTGAAGCCACCTCCCTTAACTCGACACGTAAAAACACAAGCCATATGCTCACCAACTCACAGTCTCGTTCACATCGATTCACAGTCACCAGGAAAAACGAGAAACACCATGAAAGTTAGAAGAAAATTAAAACCCTTCATAACCCCGCTGTCGGGAGAGAAAATGCTGCCAGCCCTCGGCACACGACCTTCCCGACCCGCTTCCATTCTGTGCGCAGATGTGTCTGCTGTCTGGGGTTTTACAGAAATGGGATCACACTACACACTGTTTTGGGCTCCACTTCAAAAAAAAAAAAGTGACAATAGATTGTGAACGTTTCTCATGTCAGAAAATACAATTCTACTACAATAGGACAATCAGACGATGTGTGTTTTACTTTTTTCTCTTTTTCTTTCAGGGAGAACACTTTTCCCCCAAGGAGTGTCTGGGGACTCTTGATGCTAGAAGAAGATGAGGTTCTGGCCTCGAGGCAGAAAACTCAGGCCCCTCCATGGCTGGAGCCACCACAGAAGCTGGGGAGGCTGACTCTTGGAGGCTCTGCGCCCAGGCAGCTCTGCCATCCAGTTTTCTAAATGTGAAACAGACCATGCAGACAGATCCAAGGGCCGTGAAGAGGAGACGGCACTCCCAGGCTGGCACCTGTTGGTCAGGAAAGACAGGTGTACCTGTCCCAGGACCCTTTGCTGTGCTGGGCCTGCAACCAGAACGCCCGTGTCAGGGACACCCTATTCACACTCCTGAGATACAGCTACTACCACTCGGGACCAGGTGTCCCTGAGGGCTCCGAGAGGGGGGCTGGAAACCCCAGGTAGGGAGTGTATCATGTTGCGATGCTCCAAGGGTAGCTTCCTTCCTGCCCTGACTATGTCAAAAGGACATTCCTGGAAACTTCTGCTGCCTGGGAAAGTCGAGGTGAGGGTCAGAGGGCCCGCGGGAACACGTGACACCTGGGTCTGCTTAGCCACCTAGAAGCAAAGGCCAGAATCGAAGATCCAGACAGCCCTGTGCCCTCCTGCCTCCCGGGGCCGGGATATATAAATAGGAAACTCAAAATAGCGGTTGTTTCCTCTCTATTTAAAACATGCTTCTTTTCTAAGTTCTGGTTCCCAAGTTCACTAACTCAGCTTCCCGTTTCCTGCATTCTCTCCGGAGGAGGGCGTCGCCCAGAGGGTCCTGTGGGCAGAGGGGCTCTGGGCAGGTCTGCAGGGCTTCCCCTGCCCCCCCACCTGGGCGGCAAGGACTTGGCCCAGCTGCCCCAAACCCTGCTCCGGCATCTGGACCCGGCAGAGATGTTTCCTGACTACGGCATCCCGGGTGAGCATCTGCGGGAGCCATCCTGGCACTGTTTTTAAACTGCATTTCTTCAAAACCACAAAATAAGGGTTCTCAGAATGAAAGATCTTTAAGAAATGATTTTACAATTCCTCCCTCTTTTTAAAAAAATTTCAAAGTATAATGGTAAAATATTTCCAAAAATGCCATAACTAATCACCCAGGCACCGCATACCCACACCCACCCCGCTTGGGCAGATGTGGACATGTCTCTCCTGAAAAGGCATCGCAGAGACAGCCGAGGCTCCCGGGTTTGGGGAGCACACGTGCTGTGTCACTTCACACGTGTGCGTCCAGGGAGGGGGCCGCTACTACATGGCATCTTTATCACTGACATCAAGGCAGCTTGTACAACTCTACTCCCCTTGACATATTTTCTAAAATGCATCTAAGTGACAATGCAGATCTGGTGAGCTCTACCCACTGCCTGGTGCCCTTTGCATGAATAACCTCGGTTCCTCTGTCCATTCCTGACCAGAAGGACATTCCAAGTGTTCCTGTGTTTCTGCAGTCACAGACTGGGCCACAAAGAACATCACAGACTCCCCAAGGTTGGCAGATAAAAGTGGCTGCACCCCCATCTTTGGGGCTGATACTTCACTTATGCGCTTCTACTTGGGCCTGAGCAGAGGCAGGGAGTGGCCGAAACCTACCTAAGCGACTGCCCGTCCTGGTGCCTCTACCTCCTGCAGCACCTCTGTCCTTGTGCTGCTCACCTGCTGGTGATGGTTTCCTGACTTTCTGCCTCCCGCAGCTGAGTGTGAGTTCTGAGAATAAAGACGATGGGCTCACTGCAGTCTGCTGCCTGGGGCCCACCCAGGCCTGACTCAGCAGGTCCTTGGTATAGCATGAGAGGATGGCTGGGTGGCTGGGTGGATGGATGGGTGGGTGGGTGGGTAGATGGGTGGTTGGGTGGGTGGTTGGATAGATAAGTAGACAGGTAGATGGGTAGATGGATGGATGGGTGGATGGATGGGTGGATGGATGGATGGATGGATGGATGGATGGATGGATGGATGGATGAATGGATGGATAGATGGATGGATGGGTGGGTGGGTGGATGGATGGATGGATGGATGGATGGATGGACAGGTGGATGGATGGATGGGTGGATGGATGGATGGATGGATGGATGGTGGGTGGGGATGGGTGGGTGGGTGGATGGATGGTGGGGAGGTGGATGAGTGGGTGGATGGGTGAATGGATGGATGGGTGGATGGATGGGTAGGTGGATGGATAGGTGGGTGGATAAACTGACACTTGAATGGATGAGAGGAAGGAAGGAAAGTGAGTGGGAAGACAGATGGCTGGGTGGATGGCACAGCCTTTCTCTGTGTATATAACAAAATAACAAAAGCTGGTGGCATGACTACCCTTTGGACAATCAGTTCCACATTTAGAAACTTAAACAACTGGATGACTATGAAAAGATGTATGTATAATAGTATTCACTGAAGCACTACTTATGTTAGACCAAAAAAAAAAAAAAAAACCCAAAATGTACAAGAGAGGATTTATTAAATAAATGACAGTACTTCCAAATAATATAACATCATATGGCCACTAAAAATAGTAAGGTAGATACATGTGATAAAGAAAAAAGATGTTCACAAAGCTGTCGGTGGAAAAAGTGGTTGATAAGACAGCACAATTTGGAAAGGCAATAACAACCTAGAAAACCACACCCCACAGTGGAACAGCAACTGTGTTGTTGTGCAGAGGGATGGGAGTTAGGCCATTTTAACGTGTCTTGTCTTTTTTTTTCTTTGATGATTTATACTGACTTGTATTTTCCTAATGTCCTATAACTAACTTACATATCTGTGTACTTTTTTAAAATGAGGCAGTTTGTCATTGGGGAAAATACCACACCCACCTGTAAGGGCAGACTTGAGGATTTTAATACTTTTAAAGCAACCAGAAGAGGCAAACTCTAGACTTTAAAATGTTAAAACATGCTTTCCAAGTGCAGCACAGACTCCAACCCTACAGCGCACACAGAAGCGTGCGGGGCAGAGCCAACAGCTCTGCTCACAGCCAGACACACGTTCAAAAGGCGCGTCAAACCGAGTGCCAAATGCACCTCCAAATCCACCAGACATGCGCTGACCCTCGCCGCCTCTCATCCAGAGAACTGAAATCGAGTAATTCGGCGGAACATTTTGATCCTTAAACATGCTCCAGTGTGTGCAGAAAGGGCCTGGCCCGCCCAGCGAGGGCCGGAGACCTGGCGTGGCACCGGGAGGTCAGCACAGCCGTCCCCGGTTGACTTCTCAGAAATGCCACTTCCTTCCACCTCCGACAGCTCCGGGTTTCCCCGGCCACAGCCAGAGCAGGTTGCGGCTCGCACAGGAATCCTCACCTAAGAATGTGTTTCCAGAACCCTCCTCAGCCTTCACGGACCTTCCCCCAAACCCGGGGGGTGGATCCTGCCAGAGCAGGGGTGGGGGACTGAGGTCCCCACAGGGGTGGGCAGGGGACGCCTGTGAATGTGACCACAAGGTTCAGGTCAGCGTGGGGGTGTTGGGCGCAGGGCGGGGAGAAGCAGGCTTCGTACTTCCGGAGGCTCACAGGAGGCCCACGTAAAACACGCAACAGCACACGCTGTGCCATGGGGTGTGGGCTGGCCGAGAGTCCCCTGCCTTCACCAAGGTTCATCTGGGTCTTTTGACAAAACTCCCTGCCTGCCAAAGCAATTCCCTTTAAAACGTTAGCCGCTGATCTGAGTCCCCAGACTGCGCCAAATTCCTTTCACCCGCGAGAAACCATCGTAACCTTCTGTCATTTCAACTTTACAGCTGTAGGACCCCATTACTGCTCCCACTTTATAGATGGGGAAATCGAGGCTTGGAAAGCCAGGGAGGGTCCAGCTGAGAGCAGAGAGGCCCCCCCCCCAAGTGGCCCATTCCTGCCTCCAGGCCGCACACACTCTGGGCGGGGGTATCGGCCCCTCTCTGGGCAGGACAGGGGCGCAGTGCCCAACCTGTACACACCCTGCCCCGTGCGGCCGCGCTCACTGGCAAAACTAAATGACGTCTCTCTGGAGAGGCCTCGGGGCCTGGGAAGGTCAGAGCGGCCCAACAGAGCTCCCCATCGAGCCCCTGCGGACAGGACGGCCCAGGATCACCTTCCACTTCTGGGCAAACCTGGCCATTCCCCAACCCCGCCAGGCTGGCCCCGGCTGGTTTTGTTCCCAGCAATCCCGGGGACCAGGCAGGAATAATCCCAGGGTCTTCCGGAGCAGGGCGGCCTGGTCCAAGCTGCTTCCGCCAGCGCATGCCGTGGCCACCAGACAGCACCTCCTTGCCCCTCCTGGCTGTGGAGTCGTCAGCCCCCACGGACCCCACAGCTTCCAGACCTGGAGCTCCCCCTTCCACACTAACTCTCCAAAGCTGTGGCTTCCCAGCAGTTCCCCCGGAATCGATGTTTTCAAAGACTCATTCCAGGCGACATCTGACCGTGAGGCCAAAATGCCTCCAGTGAATTCCAACTTTATACATTTTTGGGGAAAAAAAAGTATATATGCAAACAGAGATTCACTATCTTGGGCTTTTTTATTCCCCATTAAATAAAAGTAGTTTAAATGTGAATCACAGGTAATCTAAACCCCACCACACAA